GCCCTTTTTTTAAGTATCTATTTATATAATTATATATTTGGAATTTGGAATTTTCTGCATCTTTGCCTATTATCAGTTTTATAATAGGTTAAAGGTATATATGTAACCTTCAGATAATCAGATAGTATTAGTAACTCTTTTTATAATATTAATCATTATATGTATRTTGCTTCCTCTATATACTGTATTTTTCTATCATAGTATCATAAAAATTGCTACTTGTAATGTTGGGTAAGTGTAACACCCACTTAGGTAAAATATACATGTTTTTGTGAATTGTATTGGGCTCACTACCTATAATTAATTAAGATATAATATTGATACTTCATTTTATTTGATAGATCATTAGAATAACAAAGTCCTAAATATAATTTTTATAGTACCATAAAACTATTTACTTAGTAGTTAGTATAATTTTTTAACTGTCAACTTATATTGTAGATGATATGGATATGGATATGGATATAATGAAAAATGATCCTGCAGTTTTTGCTAATATGTCTTTTTTGTCACCGGAAATTAAAGATTACATCTTCAAATTTGGTCCTTGTCAACCGTTACAAAATGATTTACCTAATAAAATATTTCCATTTGAAATTAACAAAGAAAAAATAAAGAGAAGCTTTAATGATAAACATTATTACAGAATTTTACCTGATAAATCAAAATGCCATCGTGATTGGTTGTCCTATTCATTAAGCAAAAATAAAATTTTTTGTATACATTGCATGCTTTTTGGAACCAATTTGCATAGTAATTTAGAAAAATCTTGGACCAAAGAAGGATTTAATAAATGGAAAAATTGTTCATTTGCTATTCAAAGACATGAGTTAACTCCAGATCATGTMACATCATCTTTAAAATTTAAGTTACGTCAAAAGAATTTACCAATTTTACCTTCAATTGAAAATAATAGAAAAACTCAGATAGCAATGAATAGAAATGTTTTATTAGAGCTTATAGACATTGTTATATACATGGGACGTCATAATCTGGCATTTCGTGGGCATTGTGAGGATTGGTCTTCAAATTCCAGAGGTAATTTTAAGGACTTAGTTATACTAATGTCTAAAAATTCAGGACCATTAGCGGAACACATAAACCGTATTCAACAAAATGGAAAACATGAAACATCTTTTGTTTCATGGCAAAGACAAAATCAGCTGATTGAAGCTATTGCCGAAGATATTTCTTTTCAAGTACGATCATTTATTAAAGCTGTTAAAATGTTTAGCATATCAATTGATACCACATTTGAKGAATCTCGTAAGGAACAAATATCATTTATAATACGGTAAATAAATACAATTAATATAACTATAATATCAGTTATCAGTTACATTGTTTATTAGTAGTGTCTTGTTTAATTTATGTTTTTTTTAGATATGCTGATGAAGTTACCGGTGAGATTCATGAAAGACTATTAGCAGTAAAGGAATCACCAGTTACATCTGGAAAAAATGTATATGATATTTTTGTAAATGTAATGGAAGCTGAAAATTTAAATTGGAAAGAAGAGTTGGTTGGTCAGTCATATGATGGAGCTAGCAATATGCGTGGTAACTATAAAGGCCTCCAAGCACGTATTAAATCAGAAAGCCCACAAGCATTATTTGTTTGGTGTCACTCACATCGCTTAGCTTTGGTAGTAAAACAAGCAGTATCGTGTAACTCCAACGCTGTTGATTTATTTGGGAATTTAGAAACTCTCTATATTTTTCTTTGGTGTTCAAAAAAAAGAGCAGCGATTTTCAGAGAAATYCAAATTGAATGTGGTAAAATTGAAGGTAAAAAAAATCCATCGCATGCAGTTAAGAGAGTAAGCACCACTCGGTGGAGTTCTCATTCAGCAGCATTAAATGTAGTTTTGAAATTCCACAATG